CCACCATGAGCTTTACAGAACATTGTACTTCCTTGAGCACCTTTTGTACAGGCAGGATACTGACAGCGACGACCACCACCATGAGATATGCAGAGGCCGGATATTCCCTCAGCACTCTTAGAGCAATTTTCCATCATGCACCTTTTGCCACCTCCATGACGAATGCACAAGCCAGACTTACCTCTTGCAGCACGAGCACAGCCCTCGTGACTGCAACGCCTACCACCCCCATGACCTATACAGTATTCAGTACCGCCTTCAGCACTCTTAGTACACCCAAGATACTGGCAACGCCGACCGCCTCCATGTGCCTTGCAGAAAACTGTCCTTCCCTCAGCTCCCTTCTGACAGCCTTCCCTCTGACACCTCCTACCACCTCCATGGGCAATACAGAGACCAGAAGAACCTCTAGCTCCCTTGATGCATCCTTCGAACCGACAGGTTTTCACGCCAGTTCTCCGGTGCTGTTGCTTATTAACTGACCCAGAAGCACCAGCAACTGATATTGGTGTCGTTTCCGAAGTTAATGCAACATTCAGGGTTGTTGAAGTAGGATTGTCCTGGTAATGGACTTGGTCCAAAGGAATGGAAGTCTTAATATTCTGCAACGGAGACACAAGAGGCCCAGTTTTCCAACGAGACGATGTTGATCCTTCATCCACAACTTGAAATGTGGCAGCTAATGAACGTGACTCAGAATTATTCTGGTAAGGACTGAACACTTGAGTAACAGTAGTGACATCAGATTCAGAAGGTCCAGTGGATAGACTCAATTGTAAGTCTAGTTTAGGCTTCCTTCCTTCAAGTGTATTTGGAGCCCCTGCAGGCAACTTAGTGGGATTGGATGTCCTGTCATCTCCTAGGTTGATGTTGATACTAAGACCAAGATCAATAGAAGACTCTTCTATTTCTTTCCCAGAGCATATGGCAGTGCAGAAACTTGACGAACGAGACAATCCAAGAAACGGAGAAGACCCATCTTTCAATTTAGTAGGCTCATTAACAGCATTCCATTTCCTCTTGCTTCCATTGGAATAACAGGAGCTTGTCACACAAGGTGAATTAAGATCCGGAGCAGCAAAGACCGGATAACTGACAAATTTGCATAGATCTTCTGACACAGAGGCCAAAGTAGAAGAACAGTGGGAGGTGCAGTCCATGCACTGTTAACTCACACCTCACGAAAAACTAATGAATGAAATTTAAAATTATGAAAATAAAAGATTGCTGGAGTTATGAGGTCTTAAGTTAAGAAGAAATGAGGGGAAATACTAATAACTAAAGATCAAATGTAGCTTCCAAAAATGGGAAACATCCACCACTAACAAAACCTGATGTGTCCTGGCGATCCATTCTAAGAGATGGAATATAATTTAAGCAAATCACAAGCTGCAGGAGAATATCAATAGAGAAACATGTGCATCCATTGCAGACATAAATTGGCCACTAGTCATCCTGTTCCATGCAAATAAAATTCATTACATGATGGTAGTTTGCCAGATAAAAAGTAACATAATCTAAATATAAATGAAAATCATGTGAGCAGATTAAAGTAACTTTCTACCAAGCACCACAACTCTGATGGACTTAACTCAGAAAGTGATCTCTGGATATTAATCGAGACTGGAAGCAAGTCAATCAAATCATAAGTGTATAAGCAGAATAAGGGAAAACTAAAGAAAGAATTGAACATGAAAAATACAACAACCTTGAGTTGTCAATTTTGAATAAAAAAGTATTAAGTTGACTGTAAAACTCGTATTCTCCATGTTTGTGACAGCGTGAGAACATTTTAATCAAAAAAGAAGAAAAGCCACCAGAACTCCACTTGATCAATAAGAAATTTCCCCTACATTCCAAAAAAATAAGAAAAAGCATATACACGCAACATACATATAGATCATAAAAAATATATCTCCCCCTTTCTTAACGCTCTAATTCTGCTTCAATTCTAAGGGAAAAAAATTAGTTAAAACAGTGCTTAAATGATAGTTTAATTCATTGTTTTCCATCAACTGCTCAAATTAAATCAGAACAAAAATTTAAACCAGATTCAGAAAATTAAGATCTTATACAATATAGTGACTAGCAGATTATATTTCGTAAAATTAATTTTGGTATTACCTTCAGATTTAGGGAATTAAGGCGCAAGAGAAAAATCAAATGCTCCGATAATTCATGCGGCGAAAACTAGGGTTTTGAAGTGCCGCCAAATCACAGAGAAGTGAGAGAAATTGGTGGAGAAAAAATGAGAGAGAAATCGGTGGAGAATTCAATCAATAGTAGAATAGTCGGCGCACGTTGAATTGAGGCAATCTCGTTCCTCCGCATGCTTCCCCATGTTGCTTCGCGTACGTCCTCATTGGTCAACGTCATCGATGACTCTGTATTATTATTATTATTATTATTATTATTATTATTATTATTATTATTATTATTTTAAAGTACTTATTTAGCTCATGTTTTGATATGGATTAAAATTTTAATTTTAATTTTAATTTAAACCAAAGTAAAAAATTAATTTTAATCACATATTTTACGGAACTCACAACTTTTTAATCACAAATTTCATCAACTTTTATTAAAATTTACTAAAAATCTGATTTTAATTTTTACAAAACAAGGGTTCAGTATAGGATACACAAATAAAGTACAATCATGCTACACGTACAATTATTTTTTACAATTTTGGTTTGACAATCATACTTAACAACATCACAGTCATCCAATTTAAAAATTGCTTTTAAAATTAATGGTTTGAATTTTGACAACATTAATATTGTCATTCATTATTATCAACCATAATTGTACAAATAGATTAATTCAATAAAGTATTACTTCACAAACAAGTACATGAGGTTAACATATACAAGTCATTAGTTATTACTATGAATTGACCTTACTCGACGAAAGAATATTTTGAAATTGGCACACATTAAATTAAGACAATCTCGATCCTCCACATGCTCCCTCACGTTGCTTCGCGTATGTCCTCATTGGTCAACATCACTGATGATTTTTTATTTTTATTTTTCTTTAGCCCACATTTGGTATGGATTAAAATTTTAATTTTAATTTAAATCAAAGTCCATAATTAATTTTAATAACATATTTTATGGAATTTACAGCTTTTCAATCACAAATTTCATTAATTTTATTATACATGAGGTTAACATGTACAAGTTATTAGTTATCGCTATTAATTGACCTTACTCGGCGAAAGAATTTTTTCAAATCTCTTTTATCCTTCCATGGATTTGGATAATAATGCAGAACATTAATGATGAATACGACTCAATTGACTTAAACAAAACTTTGTAAGGAGTGATTTGTAAATATGAAACATGGAGCATGGTGCACCCGAACACCCGAGCGCAACCAGCAGAATACCAATTTTAAGTGACGTCATCAATGACGTAGTGATTCGCTTAAAAAGCTTCCTGGAATCGTTCATGTTGCGGTTCCCCCCGGTGGGCCCAACGTTTCCAAGTCACACACTTGAGTCTTTAATCTACTTTTAGGATAATTTAATCTCAACCTTCACTTTTTAGTACAACTTAATTCTTGTCGACAAAATACTGTCTTTTTCACATACCTAGGACACGATCTTCTTGATTTTTTTCATATTAAGACGTTGATTAAAATCCTGATTTTTATTTAAGTGAAAGTAAATAATTATTTTTAGGAAAAATTGCAGCAGCGGTCCCTAACATTTTCATTTTTTTTACAGACTTTACCTTAACCTTCATTTTGTGCCAACAAAGGTTTCTGACATTTCAAAAATATGCACTTGATGTCTATTTGAACGAAAACTATCCAAAACACCGTCAGTTGATCTAAAAAAATTAAGGAATTAACATCCAATAAAACTGTCCAAAACACCATCCAAAAATATCGTCCGAAAAGTTATTAACATCTAATAAAATCGTTACGATAGCAGATAGTTCAAGAAATTTTCCTGGTCAATTGACGGTGTTTTGGACTATTTTTGTCTAGATGGATTTCAGATACATATTTATAAAATGTTAGGGACCTTCGCTAGCACAAAATGAATATTAGGGTAAAGTCTATAAAAAAAATAAAAAGGTTAGGGAGTGCTGCTGCAATTTTTCCCTTAATTTTAATCACTTATTTCACGGAATTCAAAAATTTTCAACCATATATTTCATCAATTTTTCGATAAACTTTATTAAAATTTTGATTTTAATCTTTGACGAATAAAGGTTAATAATTAAAGATATCTATCTTCAAAAATTTCTATTTTTTACTAGTGAAATTATTAGATTTTAGCTATCATTTGGTCAAATAATAAAGTAGAACAATGATGAACACGATAACTAACGGAACTACTAGTCCCCAAAGTTAAAAGAGATGTTAGAGCTACCCGAATAGAGAAAAATGAAATTGCTTTTTTGATGTTCTAGAAATTTTGGTATGGAAACAAACGTTAATGGAAAATGGGTTTAAAATCAAGTTAATTATAAGAATATTACGAATTTAAAAATCAAATACTTGTTGTTTTGTTCAAAATAGTGTTATTTGATGTGATTGACAAACCTCTTGATTCAATAACGAATATTGAGATTGGTCGAAGAAGTAAAGAATATATCAATTAAGGGTGTGTTTGAGCCCATTTTATGTAGGATGGGTTTTGTAATGGTAATTTTTTTTAAAAATGTGTGATTAAGAAGTTGAGAAAAGTTTTGGGTTCATGTGTCAAATTTTTTTTTTTTTTTTTAAATGTATGATTAAAAATGATTTTTTATAGAGGGGACTCAAAGAGGGGCTAAATTTTAATTCAAACTGATTCGAAACAAACAATGTTGTTCGATACAAAAATCGCAAATCATAACTATAAAAATTGGACCAATGAGTAGCCTTGACTGTTCTGCCACACCTGCTCAAAACCTTTTTAAAGACATGATGATTGTTTGATTTCCGCAAGTGAAGGGATCGTGAACAAGTAATAAAATTGTGAATAGAGTGTTGAATCCACGAGAACTATGTATTTTTAGTGTAACAATTAAATCGACAATTTAAAATCATTCATATAAATCAATGTTCCAAATTTAATTGAAAGTTTTTCTCGATAGTGTTCAAATCTATCCCCCTCATATGACCCTTCTATCTCTCAATGAAAAATGCAAATATGATAAATACATTAATAAGTGTTAGATCACCTATTGAAACCATATAAAGTATAGAGGTATATCTCTATCCTCGATCAAACCTTACAATATTTATTATGTTAGATTTTGTGCCCCAAATTAGGAAGAATATTTTGAAAAATATTATTTCCTTATTTTCATGTGATTTTATTGGAAAATATTATTTTCTTAATTTCACATTATTTTTTATGTTATTTCCATCTTTATAGTATGATATATACCTATAAATAGTGATATCTTCATTCACATTTGTTTAAGCAAAAATTGTTATGCTGTAATTTTCTTTCCATATTGTTATAATAAAACATTGTTTCCTCTGCTTAACTCTTATTTATTTCTTTAGTTTTAACCTTCTTTGATTGTTGTGATCTTCGTTACTTCATATAACTCGATTAAATCTCAGTTCTTACAACACTTGGGGATCAACAAGTGATATCAGAGCTTAGTTCTTTGTGCATTGTTTGAGGTTTTTTAGAGATGGCCACATTGAAATATGATATTCCATTGTTGGATCGTAATACAAGATTTTCTCTGTGATAAGTAAAAATGAAGGCTATTCTGGCGCAGTTGGATTCAAACGATGCGTTGTTGAGTTTTGAGAAGATCCCATCTAATTAAACAACGGATGGATCAGAAGGCTTTTATCGCAGATTCATCTTCATTTATCCAATAATATTATGTAGGAAGTCTTGAAGAAGAAAATAACAACTGCTTTGTGGTTGAAATTGGAGCAGTTATGTATTACTAAAAGTCTCACTAGCAAACTGGCTTTAAAGTAAAAGTTGTATTTCCATCGCACGACAGAAGGAAGGTCACTGGAAGATTGATCACATTGCTACGTTCAAAAAAATAGTTACAGATTTAGAGACATTATAGGTTATAGAGTTTCCCTTGGACTACGAACGGGAAAGGATGAAAATGAGTCGGTATGCTAATTCCTCATCTGCAAATCAGCCCTTCTCGTAGGGTATTTTCTCAACGAATAAGTAATTGTAGGAGTTAAATCTTGATATGATTTAAAAAGGCAAACAAGAGGTCCAAGGCAATAAAATATGAAAGTACGATGATGACAACCTGACCTTAATCCTATTGTGTTCACTATTCGCCTCTTATTCGTCGTTTCGGGACATCATCCTGTACAGTTATGATATTTTGACCGTTGAGAATGTCTATGATACTCTGTTCTCAAAGGAAAAGATGAAGCATTTGGTTGGAACTATATCGAGGGATGAGGAAGCTTTGTTATCTCATGGTGATCGACGAAGGGTAAATCGAAGACGAACTTCAGCAATTTGTACTACTTCTACTGTAGGAGGAAATGATGCGTTAAGAAAGATTGCGATAAGTTGCAAGCTAAAAGTAATTTAGCTGCAAATCATAGTAGGCAATCGCGAAATTGGATGAGACTAATGTTATCGAGGATTTTTCGGATGGTGGTGATGTGATGTTGACCGTGGTATTTGACGTGGAGTCTAAACCCGACAAGGAGTGGATTCTAGATTCGACATGTTCGTATCATATGTGTTCTAATCGGAATTTCGTTTAGACATGTGAGACTATCAAGCAAGGTGGAGTTGTGATGGGGAAAAACCAGTCTTGCCGTGTTGTTGGAATCGATCGAGCCAAATTAAGGTTGTAAGACGGGACGGTCAGAATAATTTATCAGGTTCGACATATTTCAGACCTGAAAAGGAATACATTTCACTAAGTACCCTAGATGCAAAGGGGTAATTTCTCTGGAGGAGGTGGAGTTTTGAAAGTCCATGGGGTGTCCAAGTTGTACTAGAGAGACGGAAAAAGTCTCAGTTATAATCTTGTAGGGAAGCGCAAAACCAGTTAAGAAAAATCTGGACAAGTTCAGTACCATGGTGGATATTCAGTTAGGTACAGTACCTCTTGTGACAGGCTCTGGGTCGGTTCAGAACATTGCTTAGGGGAGTATTGTTGATTTCGCTTTACCACCACTTTTTAGCGGATCCACTGTGTTTAGTTGCTATGGTTAACTGATGGAGCGTAAGCACGGTGATGCCTGTAATGCTTTCGAGATCGTTGAAGCCGACAATTCTAGCAATGAGCCTTCTGATTAGGCGTTTGGTGTGGTTTCTGCTACA